CAAATCGGATCACTGGATGTCAAGAGTTAGATTATTTAATATTGAGATGTGTGTTATGAAATAACTGATTATATTTGTGACGTGAAAGTTTATGAACATACAATACCCGATATAGAAGCTCTACCAATCTATAAAAGGTAGCATTTGTAATGTTCTTTGTGCTCAGAAAATTTCAGAACATTACACATGATCTATGGAAAGTTATGGGGGGTCCGTTACTTCTGACGAGCACTGTATATAATTTGAAAATTGAAATTTTCATGCTATCACTATAAAAATCTATATAATCAAAACAGTTCTTGCATGATATATATACATATATAATTTTGGACACGCAAATTTCCTTAGATGCCTAAATCTAGCAGGCATTCTAAAATTAGCCTTGTGCCGGGTTGCAGTTAACATTAATTAACATTACAGTAGAATTTTCCGGGATCGACAAAACCTAGCTTGCGTGCAAATTTAAGACAAACGAAAAATGCAAATAACTCAAAATTTTACTATGATAACTAACTTTCAACCTCCAAGTAAAAATTCTCAGCGCGAAATTTTAGATATAGTCGAGTCTTTTAAAAGCTAGCACCTTTATCTAACAAAATTTCTAATGAATTTGATAAATCAGCGAAACTCCGCTTTAACCTCCCCCCAAAAATAGGTTATATCTTTTCTTGTCTTTTATTTACCAAAACTACACAATTTTACGAATTCGAAAAGAAACCGAGCGAACGAATAAAAAAAAATTGAAGAATTAGATTTTGTGTACACAACGACTATTGCTTTAAAGAGTTAATTAACTAGTTAATTAAAGAACATATTTCCGTAAAAAAATTAGCCTAATGTTTTCCGTTGGTTTTGCTTATATAGATGGTACTTATGGGATGCATGAAGTGTTTATGTCTATGTTAATTAGAGAAATAAAGAAACACACTATTAGCATAGCATAATAGATTATGAGGGAATGAAATTGAGGGAATGAAATTGTTTGTGAAATAAATTAAATTTTTAAAACACGTTCTGTCGATTATCGTATTTTATCACGCCATCAATCATGATCGCGTCTACACCATATCGTTCTTGTATTCGCGTGTTGCGGTAATCATTATTTGCGCTACCAAAGGTAATTAGCATTAATCCAGCCTTCTTGACGTTTGTTATTAGAGTGGGTACTTGTATCTAGAAAAAAAGTACATGTTAGTTTATTAATGTCGAGGAACGAGAAAATAAAAATAACTAAAGATTGATTGTACAAACCAGTAATGTTGCTTCGCAGATTATACCCAAAAGATTATTACTTTTTGCAAATTTGACTGCTTCCTTGATTGAAGTACATCGTTTGTCTCGAACTATAACTTCTTCATATATGGCATCTTCATCTACATTGCGCTCGCTACGTGCCTTTCGTTTTTTTCCTCGATTAATCGTATCATTTTCGAATCCGCAATTAGAATTGAAAAAGACCGCATCTAAATTATATAGAATATTTTTTTTAAATGAATGGAGCGAAATATAGCAACGAAATCGATTTAAATTCAAACTCACAATTTGGTTGTTTCCAATTTACTGCGGAACATATCGCGGGATTAAATGACGAAAATATTACGGAACGTTTCACCGGTGGTGTACGAATAAAGGTGCCGATGCCATTTCCACTAGTTGCTTGAGCTTGGTCATATACCGATTGCAATATCGTATCGACGTATGCGTTAATATCTGGTATGTCGGAAAACAAGTAATTTGACATTTCATAAACAGTAGGGTATTTAATTTCGATATTCACGCCAATATCAAGGGGCAAACGCTACTTGGTCAAATGAAGATTAGCAGTCTTGTTTTAATTGAACTAAAATATCGAAGATATTAATAATCACCTCTAAAACTTCTTCCAAAGATAAGTAAGCTTTATGAACCATTTTCTGCAATTCAGCTTTGTTTTTTTCCTTTTTAAAGTCGACTGATTCTTTATTTCCATTCAAAATTTTTTCACTCATTGTTTTAAATTGTTTATACGTTACATCGGAAACACTCAGGTCAAATTCATCCACGGGAAGCATCCAATCTGAATATACTACTGCGATCATATCTCTCGTGACTTGAACCACAATTCGAATATATTCATCGGAAAGGGACGAGGCAGTGATGAATGATGCTGTGATTCCGCTTGGAGCCTGTGGTTGTACAAGAGAAGAATTGGAACGGGTGATTGGATTCGTAGACTTCCAATAAGTTTCAACTCGTCCTCCAATTTCAAGTTGTACGCCTCGGAATGGTTTTACGATCGCAAACTCAAAAGAAACCTCACCGACTACTTTCAAATGCGTATCAAATAATGGACAAATACATCTTCCTCCTGTTTCTCCGGTCATTAGATTATTTATACGTTCTTGTTCATCAAACACGTATGGTAAAACTACTCCTTTGCCAATCACACGTGATCCAAAGGTGGGAAAGATATCGAATTCCAATGTGAAATTCTCGAGAGTGTCGAGTTGGAAAGAGAACACTTCTCTGTCATCTCCCAAAGGTAGAATAACACTGTGCGGAATCATTCCCATGTCTGGTTTTGAAGAGATTATAAGTTTCCATGAAGATATTTGACTATTTCCATAAAGGTGAACGGGAGGTCTCGATAAGTTAGCGGAATTATGTCCAAGTGTGACTTGAACATGATATTTTTTATCCAAATAATTATGCCCATAAATTCGTACAGGTATGATAGGTGGTGGAAGTAAAAGTGATGGTATTGTATTCACATCAAGCCTTTCTCGATCGTCAATCATATGCGTGTGACCATTTGATTGATGACCATTTGATTGATGACCATTTGGTTGATGACCATTTGGTTGATGACCATTTGGTTGATGACCATTTGATTGATGACCATTTGATTGATGGCCATTTGATTGAACATGTTGAACTTGATTTTCGGTAACATTGACACGCCCACCAGCGGAATTTAATAAATTGATGCATTCGATATGACCCTCCCAGGCAGCATAGTAAATTGCCGTGCGTCCCGATTCATCTTTAATATTCACCTCACATCTTGCATCCAATAGAACTTTGACGCATTTGATATGACCTTCGCTAGCGGCATAGAAAATGGGTGACCATCCATTATATTTGTCAACTGTGTCTAATAGAGCGCCGTGCTCTGTCAGGATTTTCGATAGCTCATGGTGTCCTTCGCGTGAAGTCAAATGTAAAGGATAAAGACCTTCTATATCAGCGGAAATTTTAGCTCCTTTTTTAAGTAATAACAGGGCAATGTCCTTATGCCCATATTGACATGCCAGCGATAAAGGAATATGATCACCTTCTTTCTGTGGTTCAATATGTGCACCATTATCAAGTAAAAGTTCCACACATTTAGTGTGACCGTTAGTGACTGCGTAAATTAATGGGCTAAATCTGTCGTGATCGACACTTTCGATTTTAGCACCCACAGATAAAAGATACGTGGCCGCTTCATTATGACCATACATGCAGACATAATGTAATGGTTGTCTACCGTAGACGTCAGTACAATCGACCTTCACCCCATGATCAACACATAGTTTGGTAAGTGCAGATCGACCAACGATGGCTGCTTCGTGTAAACATGTTCTATCGCTAATATCATCCATATATTTGTAATTAATAAGGTCTGTTTCAACCAATAACTGTATTGACTCTGTGGATCCTTCAGAGCAAGCTCGCCAAAAGACACGTGAGATCTGATCGCAATTCTCCCCGGTTGGGTGATCTCGAATCCTTTCGAGAATTTCTTGAACTGATGAAATCGGACCCGTCATTATAGCGTTGAATAATTCCGTCTCGAGATCATCAATCACATCGGTGGTTTGGGATTCTCCGCCAATCGATAATTTTCGCTCCGGTGAATGTGGTGATGATGGTGAACTATTCGACAAACCGCTCGCAATATCTTCTAGCTCTAATAAATTACTGAGAGCATTGTCAGCTAGCTCGGCGATAATGTCTCTATTGAAGCATGGCTGAATTTCAACTTGGCGTGAAAGATAGAGTTCTTTGGTGCTTGATTTCGATCGTTTATCCCATTTTTTCAGAATTTTGCGAAATCCAGTCGCGTTGATTTCAATGAATTGCTAATTTATGATTCGTTGAATTAATGACTAACAAGAAAATGACAAAGTATAAAAAAGCATGATTGACATACGTGCAGCTTATTTAAATCCTGCTGAAATTGCTGAAATCCTTCTTTCAAAGCCACCAGAGACGCCGATCCAGCAGACAATCTTCGTTTGCGTGCAAGTAAAATCTTCTTTTTGTCAATCAAGGTTCGTAATCTAACTCTGGATTCTGCCTCTTTTTGTAGGTAGAAAGAGTTGACCTGATGAATAAGACATGTGATCGCAAGCATGAACGAGTAAAAAAATTATATACGCGCGAGGTATCGCACACAATAATGAGCAAAAAGGAGGAACTTGAACATCAACAGGTAATTGTGGGTGGAATGATGCCCTACTTTTTCTAACTCGCGTTCAAGCTTGAAGAAAAATGCGGTTTTTTGTTGTTGCAGGAACGTTTGATTATCATCGGTTGTGATTGATGGATGATTGTCACCGTCATTTCGAACATCAACACTTTTCGTAGAAAGATATCGAGCATCAAATGCGTTTATTGTTGAGGACGGCATTGATCTTCCATTTCTACCGCCGTTCCCATTGATATTACGATTGTTACGGATGCTGATATTGCAAGTAGTTATTGCTGCTGTGGTTTTTAAGCTGTTTATGATCTTTTTCATAGCCTTGTAATTAATGTAGTGAGAGGCCCATTCTGTAATTTGTTGATTCAAAAGTTGTTTTCCAAACTATATTTTGAATGATTAATCGATTCATCGATCAAAATTTAGGTCGATATGAATTAGGATTCAGGTGCCAAGACATTTATTTGATCCAAGAAAATAATGTTCATCACAATTACCTTCATTTTCGTTATTCAACTAAATCGATCGATCAATTAATCAATTATATTACTCTAAACGAATCAGAACAAAAAAGAAACGAACGAACATAGAATTAAAAAGCTTTTTAAGTAAGCGACGAAAGAATGAATAAACGTAAAAGGCGCACACGTAGGAAGTGACTCGTAACTGTTATGAGGTTTATAGTTCTACAATGTGTGCATTTCAGGATAAATAGAAATCGAGAGAATGATTAATGATTAATTAGAATGACATGGATATGGATATGGACTGATAGATGAACCATGAGCCAAAAACGAGAGAGAACTTACGAGGAATGGAGTTCGGACACAGAAGGGCAAAGAAAGGAAATGAAAAAAAAAGGTTCGATACAAATTTATATAAATTTTTAAAATTTTTAAAATAGCATTCGTAACAAATAAATAAAAAATTCGATTTTTTATTAGGAAAATTAATAAATAAATATTCTATCCTATTCTATCAGCGTTAAAAAAGATAGATGCTGTCTTTCTCTCTTTTACCAGAGAGATCCGTATAAATAGTATTGTAAGATAAAAAATACAATTGAGGGGTAACAATGTAATGTTATCTGTATAAATAGTATTTAAATAAAGTCGATGTCTGTTGATTTTCGTGAAACTGCGAATTCATCAATCCATACCAGTTTCGGTTATCTGTTAAATTCTGCTATTACTAAGTTAGGTGGGATGGAAATGTGGTAGAAAGGGGAGAAAGGGATTGTCCAATACCTTCAACCACGCATGTTTGTCCAACATATGATTGGAGATCGACAACCAAGAAAAATTACTCCGGAACTAAAAATCACGTCAATCTGTACGACTAGAATTTGTCGATCACAATTCTGACAACAAAGTCGAATTGTAATAATAATAACAGTGAACCACACATACAAGAATTAAGAAAGGCGAAATGCAACATAAACGTTCCAAAAGCACGAGGAAAACTATCAATGTAAAGGTCACACCGACCGAAACTTTAGACCAAAAAGAATCTACAGAATTAACTGAGAGTGGGTCGAGTGAATCAAGCGAGGTACAACAGCCACCACTACCTCCTGCACCAACAGCAGAAACAGGCAAACCTCTAAAAATGAGGCTAACGGTCGTATCAAGAGCGACCAGAAGCTCAAAACAAACCCCTGAACCAGAAGAAATTAGTAAAAACAACGGTGAAACAAACGATAATGAGAAAAAGCCAACTACGATCCAACTAGTAACCAAAAAGTCTAAACGAAAACGACAAGAGGTTACAACTGATAATCAAGAAAAGCGCGCATCGAAAGCTAAAAGAACCACTAGAAGCAAAGCCAAACCAAGCACTGAAATCGATGATGTAAAAGAGGAGGAGCAGATAAAAGGGGAAGAGCATGAAGCTTCAATCTTCGATGTTGAAGAACCCAAGAAAAAACGAAAGAAAAATTTTTCTCCAATTAAAAAAGGTGCTCGACTAATAATAAAATCAAAAGAATCGAGCAATTATCTTACCGAATCATCCTCATCAGGGGAAGACGATAAGAAAGGTACTTTGATTAAAAACGAGGCAACGAACGAAGGAACATCATTTGAGGATCTTTTGCCGGAGATAGGTTCACAAGTCGCTCCTGTCTTGATCCAGAGAAAGTCGAAGACGATATTTGAAAAATTCAATCGCAAAAATAAAGAAAAAGAGTCGAATTACGAAGAAGGATTAAATTATGATAAACACACGGAAATGACCGATTCACAAGTCGCTCGTGTCTTCTCAATCAAGGAAAAAGCTGAAGAAGAAGAATCAAATCATGATAATGACGCGGAACTTCAGAAAGAACTAAGGAAAATATGGAACTCTATCAAAAATAACAGAGATTCCAAAGGCAGACAAATGACATTGCTTTTCGAAACGCTTCCTGATAAGGAAGAATATCCTGATTATTATGAAGAAATCAAACAACCAATCGCATTAGATAACATTAAATCCAAAATAAATGCAAATGAATATCTTGACATGAAGGCCTTTCATGCGGATTTTAATTTAATGTTCGAAAATGCAAAGACATATAACGCTGAAGGCTCACAGATATATCAAGATGCCGTACAATTGCAAAAGTTAGCACAGAAGCTCACCGGTGTAAAATCAAACAGTAGCAACAGCGAAGATCTTGAAGCCCTTGAAGAAATCATATACAAAGGAGAAACATATCAAATTGGTGATTTTGTCGAGCTAGTCAATAAATTGGACAGCACGAAGCCTAATCTTGGACATATCTACCGAATGTGGAAAGATGCCAAAGGGAAAGAAGGGATCTATGTGTGTTGGTTTTATCGCCCTGAGCAGACTGTTCATCAGGCAAATCGACTATTCTGGGAAAATGAAATTTTTAAAACTAATACATTCCACGACTATTCGATCAATGATGTCATCGCTAAATGCTTTGTATTACAGCCGAAAGATTATCAACGAGGGCGTCCTAAAGGCAGTGAAGGGAAAAATGTGTATCTTTGCGAGTCAAGATATCGTGAAGTAGGAAAATATTACTCGAAAATTAAATTCTGGGATAAAATAATTCCCGAAGGAGCACGCGTCGGAAGACCAGAATTGGAATTATATCCTGAAGTAAAAGTAATCAAAAAAGTTCCAAGTTCACTTGCTATGGAAGCAGGTGCAACAAAACCTAGTAAAAGCATTGCCGGCAACAACCTTTCAATATCATCATCTTCTTCCTCGTCGTCGTCATCATTAATATCTTCGTCACAAATCAAAAGATCCGATTCTGATAATGGATCCCAACAATCATCACATTCATCGACACAATCTCAATTACCTCCAATTCCACCACAACCAGGAATACTTCCATCTCAAACAGGTGAGTCAGCTTCTTGTTATCATTCTAGATTTTTTAACACGCTAAATTCAATTATAAATTTTGATTGTTAGCGAGCCAATTCGATCATGATAAAGATGGAAAAATGATTTGGTTCTCTGCTCCACCGTTGGATGTTATTCCCCTTCCCAAACCACGTCATTCCGATCATTATTTGCAGTATAAAGTCGAGCAAGCAGAAAAACAAAGAGTAAGTCATCATCATCAAACAATTATTTATTATTTATTTATTTATTTATTGTTAAAAATTAATAAATTCGTATCTTGTTCTCTTAAAAGAAACGTAAAGCGAGGCATGATGCTTTTTTTGCACCATCAAAACGTCAATGCTTAGTTGGATCGGACATGATTCGAATTGACGATAACATTTTGATCAGTTTACTTCAGTCCTTGGGAGAGGCCTACATCCAAGACGCTAGTTCATTTTAAGGATTTGAATTGATTATTTCACTTTAGCTTATTAATGTAATTAGAAGTATATGCATAATTTTGTGTAATGCGAATGTAGTACGAGTCGATTAAGGAAATACATATAATGGATCTAAGCATGCTTGTGCGTGTGAATTACTCTTTTCAGTAACGAGCGTATACGTTTCTGGTACACGAGTAAAGGAACAATAATTATATACAAGAAAAAACGCGATTGGATTCAATTCAATTAGATTTAATAAAACACTTTTGCGTTACTCATGTGCATTCTACTATATATAGATAAAATTACACGTTGTTTGCATTAGTGGTTGTTACTTCAATGAAATCAGAAATAGGTGGAGAAACCTTATGACGAAATACTATGCACATCGTACTAAAAAAGAATATGTATGCTAGCTTCGAATGAGACTTCTTTATTATATGTTTTTCATTCATCTCGAGTTCGGTAACACTGACCAATGAAATTGCAGTTATTGCAGCCAATAAGAATAAAACCTTTCAGGTCGTGTGGTATCTTTTTGGGCATCCGTTTGTCCGTCTTCCACGGGAATGATTAACTAAATGAATCTCTTTTAAATATTAAACTTCTCCAGGGAGGGTAACCAAAAAAAAGACGCCAACCCGTGCTAAAACGAATGGCGAAAAAAATCACAAGTTAAGTTTAAAGCAGGACCCGAGCAATCTTGAGAAAGGTATATCTTAAGCCATGTTTGGAAATGATTTGCATGATTTTTGAAGGTTGTTTTCAAATATAACCTTTACTAATGTCCTTTTAGAGTTCTGCGTTTAATTAATAAAGATGATTCCATCCAATCATCAAGTTTTTTTAGGCACATGGAGTTCTTTCAATGAAAGCATCCTTTACTTGTCTTGTAGATATCGATATCACTTTAGACAAGGCGTAAAGAATCGAACGAAGGAAACATCATAGTTTCATAAGATATTCACGCGAAAATTTATTTATTGCGTTTAGATGGATCAAAATTTGATTGCTTGATTGCAAAGTATGAGAAGAAAAAAAACATGACTATAAATGATGAGCACGAAATCAAGTCAATAATTAATTAATTGAATTTTTTGTTCTAGTATATACAATCTTAATGAACGAAATCATTAATATCACAAGGAGCTTATTATACTTGAGGATCCTATCTTTTTGCGATATAATTTCCAAAGAATCATGTATCGTACCAACAGACAGACGAAACTATTTAATTTTCATCGTCCGTCCTGGCTCGTAGGGACTCTAGTCTCTACGTGCACGTTTTGTTTCTCGTTCGTAGTCCCGGTCTCTGTCACGGTCACGATATTCTCTATCTTTGGATTCCCGGTAAGAATCTCGACTTCTGTAATAATCCCTTTCTCTATGAGTATCCCTACTATCTCTTTCAGACCTATAAGAGTCCTTGCGATCATCTTTACCCCGATTCCTCTCACCTGTTGCTTTATGATTAATGTTTTCTAATCTCTTTTTCTTTTCCGTTTCCTCTATTATAATTTGTTCGATTGCTGACAATTTTTTAGGCTCCTCTTTCTTTTCTTTCTTTGGTGAAGCACCTAAAATATTCGACTTTTTGGCTAATGCAGAAAGTGACTTTTTCTGTCCAATTGGTTTAAAAGATATCGAGGTAGTGGAAGGAATGGCGTTGATGGTGGGATTAATCGAAGGAGCCGTCGTTGATGAAGTTGAATCAGAAGAAGGTTTTGTTGCGTCAAAATCAGCCGAGAATCCGTTAATAGCTGAAGAAGGAAGCAATAAGGACTCGGTTTCAATCGAGTTCATAGCAGTGGCAACTTCTGTGATTGTATGTTCCGTTGTTTGGGAATTATTAGGGTCTTCTAGAGACTTTATTTCCAATTTGAAGATATTTTTTTCGGGTTTTCGCTTAAGTAATTCTAATTCACGTTTTTCAGATGGATCCGTAGACTCGGCTTCTTTGTTTGCTTTTTCAATCTGCTCTTCAATGATTTTTCGAGCACGTTCCTCCTCGTCTTTTTCTTGACGTTCCTTTTTCAATATGGCCTCCTGTCGTGCCAAAGCTTTAGGACTATTGTCGATCCAACTGATAAACCATCCTTTAGGAGTTTCATCTACATTGCAAATACCTTTTCTTCCAAGATATTTCACAAAATCCGTAAGCGTGATCCAATCAGTTGCATTCATGTGCAAATGATGTCGGTCTGAAATGTATTCTTGGTAGACGGTATTGGCGAGGACTCGTTTCGTACCCCATCTATTATTATTATTATTATTATTATTATTATTATTATTATTATTATTATTATTATTATTATTATTATTATTATTTTTATGATGATGATGATGATGATGATGATGATGATGTTAATAATGTTTTCTCGTTTTCTTCTTTTTTGAAAAATTCTTTTACTGATTGTTACTTTTTTACGTTCTGTTCAATTAATTGTGTGGTTTCTTACATGACATATACTAGAAAACATTCGATCAATTAGCCTGGATTTTTCCAATTTATGTAATGAAAATGACGATAATCACGGTAATAACACGACTATTAATAAATCTAAACGCGCATTCTAAACATAAACATGATGTCAAACTTACTATCCGTGTTTCAAATGATTCTTCGAAAATGATATCATTACTCCGATTCTGATTTATTTAATCTTTATTATTCTTGGTCGTGGATACATACATTTTCGATAGTTCATTAATTCATTATTGCGTTTTTTCACTCATCTATTCAATAGTCATCGTTTGCGTTTTTATATGATTCAAGTATAATCCTCAACTCGAAGAAATAATAGAATCGACAATGTTTAATTCAAACAGCTGGATAACCATTTTACAATGTATATCGTGACTTGAATGACGAAACGAACGGAAAAAAGGATGACGATCCTATGCAATAAAAGGTAGAGATTTCTGCCTACGTATATATTTTAAATTAACCCTCATTAATGATGAAAACCATAAGTTATATCCATTCGTTGACTGGGAACCTCACGAAAACCTCTCATCATCACCTCACTAATACATTCAAACTCGATCACGTTACTCGCACGCAATCGCACTTTACAAAAAACTTTCTACATAAAAAGCAAACAAGAGGATTTACTTTGTATCGTACATACACACGCATCGAGATCTCTTTTTCGCTTTAGGGTCTTCTTGTTGTTTTTCTGTCGATCGAGTATTTCCGTTCTATTGTTTCGCTTTCTCTTGTGAGTTTTTGCGCTGTTTGTCGGTAGTATTTGGGTTTGGATTGTGATGGTGGTGTGAGTGAGTTTTTGTGTGTGCTCCCAAGGAGAAAATCGGCATCTGATCATAATTTCAAAAAATAATCTTTTAAAACAAAAACGATTTAATGTTGGTTATTAACCCTGTTTTGTTTAATTTTTTGTAGTTATAGATGAAAGCTATCTTTGTTCCTACATCCATAATCGTGATTACCAACCATATTTATTGCTATTCCAATAATCATCAAATTCATGGTTTCTCTAAAATTAATGCAACCACAACGGATACTAACAAACTACCAGACGAATATTGGTTAGTTGCTACGAAAAGCCAATCTGCGTATTTTCAAGTTTCATCTTTTCATTATCCAACAAATAATATATTTTTTATATCAAATAAACTTTCAACTTCAAACAAACTCTTTCTTTATTCACATTGAAATCAATATCCACTTCTGATTTCACAATTCAATAAAGTCTGAAATTAAAGATGGAATTTATCGCACAAACCTAAAAGGCGAGTAGCCTACTCATTCATACTTTGAGTCAATAGGTGCGAGGTTGATAATCAAATCCTGATAAAAATCTTGTAGTTACCGGCATGGTCCATTCCGGAAATTCAATAAACTGGTTTGCCTTTTAAATACTAAAAAAATCTTGTGGTTCTAAAACATGGCCTAAATGTAAATTACCAGTTGCAACAACGTGGTGACAAATAAAGCATCACCTAGTTGCAACTAGTTGCGGCTTATAAATTTTTGTGTTGCAACGGGTGACAAATAAGCGTCACATACTTGCTGCGCCATCTCTAATCTCGCTTGGTTTCTTCATACTCTTGTAGTAATTTTTCGAATATAGCTTTATGTTCAGCCAAGGGAAGTTAATAAATATTATTTCCTGTATTTTCATATTGCTCTTCCTCAACAACTTCTTTATATTTTTTCATCCAATGTCATTTGGTATTCATCAATTTTTCCCTTGAGACCCTGCAACTCGTTAACGAATTATAACACAATGAACACAATGATTGATAGGATGAAGGAGCAAGACCTTCTTTTTAAAGTCCCAAAAGAATAAGAATCTGAACTCAAAGTGTAATGTTGGATACGAGAAGAAAAATTAATAAAGACAAGACGAGAAAGATGAGGGGAAATTTATTATAACTGTTTACGCTCCCCCATATAATAATAATTATTAAGATAAACTTAATTAATTCAAGTACCCGGCGATGTTTGGCGGACACGGAACATGGAAAGTTCACGACACGGCCGGAATTAACAAGTGATGTGACGCGGACACCAAAGTCCAAGTATTTCCATTTATCGTTTTCTTCTTTTGAAGATTTTTACAGTGTACCCATTTTGTTGAATGTATTGGGCCAATTCTGGGATTAATATACTTCCTTCAATTATGATTTTCTTCATTTCGAAAGGTCCCTATTTGGTTGATTGAGCGGATTTCGTATTCTCCTAGTTTCAAATGTATAAACTCCGGGTTGAATATAGTTTTCCGAGAAAGGATCTGTTTGTTCGGAAAGGAGTTTTTCGAGTACAAGTTGATTATTTTCGATTCGAAATTCAGATCTGTTTCTTGGTAATGAATCTGGTCGTTGATTAATACAGTGATTATTTTGGCAACAGTATTGTGTGAGACAATTCGGACGTGTTTCATTTAGAAGCGCATGGCGAAAATGAGCGCGGAAGACCAATTTTACTTGTTGCATTACTTATAACAAGTAAATTGAGTAAATTATATATTCTTTTGCTTTGTGCAGACCCAGCAGCCTGTTCCATGACAACACTTTCTGCATACAAAATACAAGTGTGTATAACCAGCGAATTTGTGTGAAGGGAAGTTTTTCTGGTTCAGTTTGGTTTTATTTCAGTAAAGGTGGCGTAAACATCACAGTCATATGTTTGGTTAACTCACGGATTTCCAGCATAAAACCTGGCAAGACCAACATTGTGCCAACCATGTTTGCAACGATTTCGGTTCTCGAATGATCAATCAAGCCTATTGGCTTAGCATTGATATAATCAAGCATTGATTTCATGATTTGATAATTTGAATTACAAGTTATAAAATAGAAGTCTGTCCACTAATTTTTTTATTTGATGAATCTTTATACTGAAAATCATGAGTCGTTTACATGAAATCTATCAGATCATCATTTACGTAAATTTTATGGCCAACTTTGGTCCGAATTCAGTTATTACATCGTGAGCACATTACATATCTATCGAAAAAAGCGTTTAAAAAAATATTCTCAATAAATTTCTGCTAAAGTTTAAATATACAAGAGGAATTACCAATGAATGGATACTATCTTAACGAAAAGAATATTATTTTTGTTTTTTATTAATACCTAATTTATCATTTATTCATGCGTTAAAACATTGTGTGAACTATTCATTCTAACTATTCATTGTCAATGCAATTATCTACACACGCTTTCTTTCTCATCATATAAATACCTCTTGTGCATATTTCGAAAATTCAATCTATAATTACGGTTTTGTTTTTATTGACACTCTATAGACTGCTTATACTGTAGTGCTAAGGCATAAGCAGGCTTATTTGGACTTCAACTTATCCAGGGCGTCTTCAATTTGATCGAAACGAAAATATATAGAAGTGCATCATAACGTGTTGGCGAATGACAAAATGTTATAATGACTTATTTTAGATTGCACGTGATAATTATAGGTTTATGTATACTCTTTTATCCATTTTTTGTTTTTAATATTTAATATTTAATATTTTAATTTTTACCGTTGCGACATTTTCGAAGGTTCCAGAATAAACCAAATTTTTCGTATTACTAATCTACTTGATGATTAACGTTAATACAACAATATATTACCGGAAATTTCAAAAATGAATTTGTCACTTTGGAACCCGATATCTCGACATCCGGTGATCTCTTTCGAACAAAGATATCACCATTATATTCGT